ACAAGATTATAATAATATAAATATAATTAAACTCAATAATTGGATAACAAAAATGCAAACAAATTCTAAACGTGAAATTATAAAATATAGTAAATAAAAATGGTTGAGATTAATAAGTGATAAAAAAAAGGGAATTATTTGTAATGTATACATAAATATACGCAGGAAATGAATGAAAGTAGCTTATGTGCACATGCATATTGTTCTCTTAACAATTATTGATTTTTTTTCCAAGTCCATCCGGGTTGATATTCGAGTAAGGTTGACTTATATTAACAAAAGCGAATCAGGTCTAACAAATATACCGTGATTAGGTGCAGCCGAGAAATACTTTCTGCTAGCTACAATACCATTATTTTTACCAACTATAAAAAAGAAAAAGAAAATTAGAGTTAGGTGAACATAACAAAATAGCTAATTGGAATCTAGAACTTACCAGGATTATCTAATTCTACACCCACCCAGATTCCTTTAGCAAAATCGGTTTCACCTAGGAATTGTATACAGCCTGGAGCATTGTTCTTTGTTGGAAGTATTATACGTCTTCCTACAGAAATGTCTGCAGAAGGATTAGTAGCCAATTTAAGTTGATGTGGCTTAGGTTGCAAGCTGGTAATGACACCATTTGAACTAGATGTGGTTGAAATTATGGACGGAGAGCGGTTCCTTTTGTGATGAGAAGAGGAGGTCGTTGTGACTGACGAAGTTGATGCAATAGAACTGGCTCTAGAAGATTTTGGTGTAACATCTCGTTCTCGCTCGCGACCTCGTCGCTGTTGAGCATCGTCATATTTGAGTTGTCGTAACATGCTAGAACGAGTTTGTCGTACACCGTTAAATCGTGATGGTGATACGGATGGTGAATTAACTGACTTTGCAGAAGAAATTGAACTTGTACGTGACGAGGTAGCAGATGTAGCTTGTTTGGTAGTAGACCGTCCTCTTGGTGTAGCAGGAGACGTCTTGGGAACTCGAAGACTAGACGATGACGATGAATTTCGTAGGGTACGATCAGTTTTATTTGTAGTGGTAGATGTTGTTGTTTTAGTCGTTTTCGCGGTTGAGTTTGCTGACGAAGGCTTCGGCGGTGTTGACGTACTTTTTATCCGCGGCTTTACAGGATTTTTTGCTGAAGATTCTGCTAATGCCTTTTGACGTAAAACGCTAGCACGAGTTGGTCGATCCCACATAGGTGTATCACCAACAATGCGTACATTTTTTACCCTTTTAGTAGAAGTAGTTCGCGTGGTTTTTTCTGTCTCATTACTAGTTGTTGATGATTCAGCGGAAGATTTGACATCATTAGGGATCACAATTTCTGGAATCGATTTTGTGTTTTGACTTGTAACATTGCCTGATGCCGTTTGTTCCGTTGGCGTTGTTGTAGCCGTTGTAGCCGCTGTAGCCGTTGCAGCCGTTGTAGAAGTTGTAGCCGTTGTATCAGTTTTAGTCGTTGTAGTCGTCGTAGTCGTCGTAGCAGTAACTGTAACCTTTGGAGGAGGTGATACCAAGCCTTTTTTAGATAATCCATTTGTTGCACTAGGTGTTCTAGTTTTTGGTTTTGGAGTTTGAACTTGAGTCAGAACTGGGGTCGAATCAACGAGTGCCTGTAACTCGCTTCGATCTACATTTAGTTCTTTTTTTTTAAAAAAAATGAGTGTATGTATGTATATTATATACATATATAATAATAACGAACATGTTATATGGATTTATAAATATCTTTTTACAATAGTAAACGTTCTCAGGATAAAACCTTACCTTTCACAAATTCGTCCAATAACCACGGACTTAGTAGCCTGAAACCACCATACTGTTTCACTCCTAACCATCGTTTTTTCATATAATTAAAGACATTCTGTTTTGACTGTGTAAGCAATCTTTTTGCTTCTACGTTCTCCGCACTCAAAACAGCAGGTCTAGTTAATAATTTTCCAGTAATACATTTGAGGATGCGTGCAGAATTTTGTTCCGTCAAACTTTCTTCAACTATTATATTCATAATGTCCTCTAAAATATCTGAACTAAATCCAACACCATCCACACAATTTAAAAATTCTTGATCTTCTTCACAAATTTGCTCGAAATTATCAACCAAAATCTTAGCCGCATATGATCTAACCTCATTAGTCATACGACGAACAGTCTCTATCCAAGGCAGACCTATCCCTTTTATGTCAATTACAGAAATAATATTTCGACATCCTTTGAAAGTGGTAATGACATTATTTCTTTGAATATTTGCAAGTAATATCATGAGAATTTCTTCTCTAGTATCCTCATCAAGATTTGCAAACTCTTTATTAGGCCACATGCTGTCGAATCCTTGAGATAAAGCATGTAGACATCCTTTCCATAATTTCTCGACATCGTGCTCTTTAGCAAATGCCGCCACCCTAGGCATAACAATTTGACATTCACCACAAGTACATTTAAAAAAATGCACTTTCGTTGCAATACGATAAATACATTCTTCACAAAGGATTTTTATATTTAAAAAGTCCGCACCAATCCACACCCATTCGCAAGTTTCTAAGGTTAAAGGTTTTGAAGAAGATGAAAGATTACCAGTATAAATGAAAGTAAGAATCAAGTTGATTGAAGTTGGATTAAAAATTGACGCATCAAGTCTGATGGAGGAATTACGTGCTTCAATGAAATCAGAGCTAAGCATTTTTTTGAAATATTCAGACCTTGATGACAACATAAAACGATGGGCTCTAATTACTATGGGTTTGAAAACTCCCTCATCTTCGTCCTCATCAATAATTTCAAGATCATCCTCCATAAATTCTAATATCAACTCGACATCTGTATATAATTTTGATTTAAGCATGTATAATAAATCATCTTTTAGCTTGTCTTGTTCGAGTTCATCTGTAGTATCGACGGCTTGTAAAAAATCTTCACTGCCTTCTTCAGCAGTATAAAAAAATTTTAATTCTTGTCTAAATAAGAATGGATCCGCATCAGTCTTCACTGTAACCGGGTCCGTATTGGATAACCGCATGGACCGTATAGACATTCCATTCGCATCCTTATTTTTCAAGAAACGTTCTTGAAATGATCGTGAACTTCGAGCATATAAAATGGCTAGAAATTAAATAAAAACAAAGATAATTAATGAATATTTGAACATAAATATCTATATAATAGAAGCTATATTATTAGAAGAAAATTTTGTTTTTTTTTTTGTCAAATTTGTCGATACAAAAGAATATATGGGATATTAATATCCTAAGTTTTTTCGAAACAAAAGAATATACTAGTCAGGGTTACGGTATAGTAATAAAATATAGGAATAGAGTAATACCTTTGTGTGCATAGATGATAGTCGGACTGGGCGCCAAAGTGAATTCCCATGCTATATCAGCATATAACTCTTTTGCATGTTCAAGCGCGTATCTTAAATCTTCAACCAAAGTATCTTTTGGTCGAGTGGTGAAATCTAAACCTTCAGGCAGAGGCAAGGCGCACTTCTTTTTCTCCGAAGGCATGGATTGACAGGATTACTGCATAGAACGAGTGAAATGTTGAATTTTATGAAGTGTGTTTCAAATTATATCATACGCAAGTCGGAAGATAAAAACTTTAGGGTTTAGAGGTTCTATACTTTGTTTATCGTCAAAAGACGACTGCAAGTCACTCTTTTCCTTTCCTGCACTCATGTCTACACAAATAAGGAACTTAAATTTTTTTGTCAGACATGCATGGAACATATTATCAGGCAAATCTAAATTTACATTTGTTATCGTTGAATCAAACCAACAGCTTGGAATACCTTTCTATTTGATTTCTATATATGACAAAATTGAAGGCTTAAATATAGTGAAGATGCATAAACGCTCCAGTGATTCTTAGAGAAAGCATTTACTTTGATCATAAATATATATTATATACACAGTTTTGCGATAATTATAGCGTTAGATTAGGTTATATCTTAAAAAAAAAATTTAACATTAATAGACCAAATTTAGAATATAAGTTATATCTTTTAATTATATATCGATGTTTAAAAAATGTTTATTTAATACAACAAGATGCTCCTAAAATCTAAAATTCCGAGTCACATTAAAACTTTTTTACTAATTAGGTAAACGCGAACGGACCCAGTATTTTTTAGTGGTATTTTAGTGGGTATATATAGTGTTTCACAATGGATACTTGAACTATAAGACCTCCCTTTAGCCTTTTAGCGTTAGAGTGCACTAACAAACTATTAAACAACACGCCTTTAAATCATATGTAATTACATAATCTAAAGAACATTATAGTCACATGGTCTTTTATATACACCACGAACTTCAAATGATCCGATCTATTTTTCAAATGAACTTCACAGCAGACGATCTACGAACACGATCGCCGTCAAAATTTCATTATCACGTGATGATGTGTGGCACGACCAGTGTTATAAATTCAAAAAATTTTTTACTGGCGCAAACGCAAAAAAATATGCAAAAAAAGAAATTTATACGCGCTTTATATATACGGAGAGCGCTGATATATGCGCAAATTTAAATCTGTGTATGCTGCGCCTACTGCGCGGATCCAATTTATATCACTGGGCACGACTTTGAATATTTTATTTTTTTACAAGCATTGTTGTTAATTAATATAATTATTTAACAAAAAGTGATTATACATTATCGAACAGCAAGAAACATCCACTTTTTATATATAAATATAAAAAAAATCTGTCTTACAAATTTGTTGTTTTTAGTCTAAGTTAGAATTCTGTTAAAATAGATTTTTATTTTTATTATAAATTTAAAAAGTTTTTTTTTTTTTAATGTCAAAGTGATCTCATAGTCGGTTGCCTTTATTTAGTTTATGTGCTAAGCTGATTGAGTTTGCCATTACTCATTTGGTACATGGTTTTGGAGAATACAACTAGCCACATGTACAATTTTTAATTGCCTATTTAAGTAGTCTGTCTGAAGGTTCTACACTAGATGCTATATCTATAATCCAACTAGGGGATTATCTATTTAAACCCTCTGTGCTGCCATATCCTTATAAGGAACCAATATCTGCCATAGAAAGCTTCCCAATCTAGGGCTAATTTACTTTCGAGATAAACTTGTTAGAGTTTTTCATACTCACAATCTGGCTAACCTAGACTTCAGTAACTTATACCAAGTCTGAGGACAAGTACTTGCAAGCTAAAGTCACTACTATTACCTACTTTTGCCCTTGTAAAGTTCACTTAAACCCCAGTACCACTTTACAGACTATTAAGAGTACTTCTCAAATCTCAAACTACTAATTCAGATAGCCCGAGAGGGACTTTTACCCGAAAGTTACTGGTTCCCTGGTAACCACAAATTAAGCAGATCCTTTTTCTTTGGTTCTGGCAGCCTAGTTAGTAAAAGTGCCTTCTCAAACACTTTGTTTATTCAGTTTTTCCAGTTTGACCTAGCTATTCTAAACTACCAATTTCGATAGCCCGGAAGGGATTTTCACCTGAAAATTACTAGTTTCTTGATAACCACAATTAGACAGATCCTTTTCTTTTAACCTCTGCGGCCTGGTTGGTAGGGTGCTTTTGCTATACACCTTGGTTCTGTCCAATTTCTGATTTTTTCTAGTAATAACCCTTCACATAGTACCGTTAAAGATTTGTGCTATCCCTCTACTCGAGTCTTACCAAGCGAGTATCTATAACTTCAATTCTTTGGCTTTATACAGTACCGGCTAATAATTCTTTCAGATATAGAATATTTGGTACAACTTTAGTTACAGATTAGCAATCTAACTTATCATTACAGTAACCATTCCACAACAGAAAATTTAAATTTCATCGACAGTAGGATTCAAACTCTGGATGTGCTACTGGGGGCAGTATTGTACATAGACATTGTCCTGTCAATTTTGCAGGAACATGGAAAGTTCTAGACAATGTCGCATGTCCCATATCTGCAATGATGTTCTAGCAGAGTATTGTACATAGACACTGTCCTGCTAATTTTTAACTTTGTCTCTACTATGTCCAGGACATGTCCACTATACAGGCCAATCGAATTGTCTAAAATATATGAATATATCGAAAATGAGGTTTAAAAATTTTATATTCAGTTTGACTTATTATCTTAATAAGCTTAAAATTTATCATTATTTTATTTAAATATTAACAGATAAGTTGATTTAATCAACATTATACTTCCAATATGTTCAACGTTCAAGAAAGTTCAAATTGTATATAAATATATAGCTATATATAATACCGTAACTCTGATCTGGGTTGTGTATAAAATAACAATAAAGTTGCTTGATATGTGATAGTAATTTCTATGCATATTGAATAATTTTATTGGCTGATAATCACATGTTGATTAATATATATTCAAGACAAAAAAAATTTCCACAGACATGTCAGCGGACTTCCTGTTTCAGACTGTCTGCTGTCTGTGTTCATGTCTTATGACAATACTGTTTGAGGGTGAGATAACTTCACCACTTCACTAAATCGCCACAACCTTATAAATTTAAAAAGTTATTAAAGTCTAAAATTACTATGTAATTAAAAATTTGGTATTTAATATATAAAAAAATTGTTTTTATAGATTTTTAACCAATCAGAATTTTGTTATACAAAAAATAGCCAATCAAATTTGAGTATAAATCTTAAAATTTAGTATTTTTTAAAAATTTTTTTTGTTTTAATATTAAGGCGACCTCTCTGTTGCGTACTTTTATTCGATTATAGTTATAATTTTTACAGTATAATTTTTATACTGTATATATATTTAGAGAATACAACTAGCCACATGTGCAACTTTTGGTTGTTTTTAAGTAGTCTGTTTATTACTAAGTTCTATACTAGATATCATATCTATAACCTGACTAGGGTTATCTATTTAAACCCTCTGCGTCTATATGATTATACTATTAACCAAATGAAAATTTAATACGAATCTTTTAGTTTTGGATACTAACTTAGGACTTTAAAGCAGGTTCTTTACCCCCAAGAGCCCTTTATTCTTGAGGCAAATCTGCTAGAGCCTTCTGTATTCACAATCTGGCTAATCTAGTCTTTAATTGATATGTATAGACCAAGGTCTACTACTTGCGCCCCAGTTTTTATATTAGGTATTATAGCCTGATCGCTATTATATAATCTACTTCTGCCCTTATAGAGTTCACCCAAACCCAGTACACACATTACATACTATTTATGGTATCTCTAACTATCTCAAACTACCAATCAGATAGCCTGGAAGAGTTGTAAACTACCTCTAATCCTCACAATTAAGTTCTTTTTTTCTGGTTACTCCTCTGGTAGCCTGGTTGGTAAAGTGCCTTGCCAAATACTTTAGTCCTGTTCAGTTTTGCCAGTTCTTCTGATGATAATTCTTTATGTAGTATCATCAAAGATCTGTGCTACCTCTTTATTCAGGACTTACCAAGCAAGTGCTTTACTACTATATCGATCCTATGGCTTTTTGCAATTTGAAGACCTATTCATATAATTCATATATCACATAAATGCTTTCGAAATCTTCTAGTTCCAATAAATTAGTATAACCACAGTTACAGGGTCTCGAGTTTTCCTAGTTATGACAATAGTTATTGAATCTATTTTTTAAAATTCAATTTTTGTTTTCAGTGAGAATTAAACTTGTACTCAACCGCTTTGGGGTGCAACAACTTCACCACTTCACTAAGTTACCATACCCTATATTTTTAAAAAAATTAAATATTTCTTGTTGTCTAGTACTGTATAATTTTTTTTTGCTTTAGCAATCCTTTTTTTATTATTATTTTTTTTTTATAATTCAGCTATATCTTGTCTCTTGTTTATTTGTAAATTAACTATTGTCAACAAATTACAATTAATTTTGATCTAATAACAAATATCTAATTCAAACAAGATATATCAAGTTTTTAAAACCTAATATAATAGCTTTAGTAGATCTTTGTCTCTCTCCAGGTTTCTAACTTACTAGAGGTTTATTCTTTAGTCATTGACAGGTATTATATACTATATTAAAATTAACTTTTTTTTGCAAAAAAAAAAATAAATAGCAAAAAGACAATCAAAAAGCAAAAACAAAAAGAAAAGGTATATCTTGATTCCAAAATCTAATCCATCTAAACAACAAATAAAACTAAAACAAAGAACAAAAGAATAAAACAAAATAAAAGAAAAAAAAACAAAGATAATATTATTAAACCTATACAGGATTGTAAAAATTATATATGACTACTAAAAAACTAGTCTAAACTCTATACTAGTTATTTATGTTTATATTTAGGATATAAAATTATCTATTCTTGAATAAAGATCCAAGTTTAAAATTTTTATTACAGTCTCAGCAAATCTTCTTTCAGCAAAATTTCTGCAATATATTATGTCCTTTATTTTTTGGGCAAAGTTTCCAGAATAACCTATTAACCTCTTAAGAAAATATAATTATATATTATTTATTCTAAAATAGATATATATACATGTATATATCTTTTCTTTTTTAGCAGCAATTGTTGTTATCGATCT